AAGAAGAAGAAGAAGAAGAAGAAGAAGAAGAAGAAGAAGAAGAAGAACAACAACAACAACAACAACAACAACAACAACGACTAACATTGACTACAACATAACACCACTATCATGTTAGAAAATGTGCTTGGCTTGCCATTGATTGTCTGTCTTAAGCTCACAGTGACTGTGTGTGCATCTAGGCAGTGTTTGCAGCCTTTACAGATAAGGTCAGGAGAGTTAAGACTTTGAAGACCACACAGCTTGGGAAATGCAGGGTATAGACTTGGGCTTCAGCTTCTTCATTAACAGAGACAGCGTAAGTTCTTGTTGAATAGATGCTGAATACATGAAGGAAATACTACAGCCACAATATCCTCTTTTTGTTTTCGTTTATTTGTTTGTTTATTTGTTTGTTTTGAGATAGGGTTCTCTGTGTAGCCTTGGCTGTCCTGGACTGGCCTTGTAGAGTAGGTTGGCCTTGAACTCACAGTGATCCACCTACCTCTGCCTCTCTGAGGGGTGAGATTAAAGGCATGTGCCACCAAGCCTTGTTCACACTATCTTCTTTTAAATGTATTTTTGTTAATTCTTTCAATACAATAGATTTTGATCCATGTTCACCCTTGCTTTTCTCTTAATTCCTCCCAGATCTATCCTTACCTCTCTATACCCTGCTTTTTTTTTTTTTTTTTTAAAAAAAAAGACGATCTATTTTTATTTTATTTATATGAACATTTTGTCTGAACATATATGTGTGTAGCACATGCATGCCTGGTGCCCACAGAGGCTAGCAGAGGGCATTGGTTTCCTGGGATGGTGCTGGGGAACCAAACCTTGTCCTCCCCCAAAGCAGCAAGTGCTCTTAACTGCTGAGTCATCTCTCCCGCCTCCCCACCAACCCTGTCCTTTTAAAATAACTCATCTAGTACAGTTTTTACTGCCCATGTTCTCCTGTAGGACCATCAACTAGAGTGGGGGCAACCTACAGAGGCTACATCCTTAAAGAAAAGTATCCCAGAAGCCATCAACTGCCCATTGCTTCTCAGTTAGAGGTAGAGGCTCATGAACTCCTTCTCCTTCCACGCTGGAACATTGACTGGATTTATCTTGTACAGGCATAGCTGTTGTGAGTCCATGAGCACAGCAATCCTATCACATCCTGAAGACAGTGCTTTTCTCCCATCTTCCCTTCCTTCTACCTCTTAGAATCTTTCTGCTCACTCTTCTGTGATAGTCCCTGAGCCTTGGGGAGGTGGCATGATACAGATGTCCCACTTGTGACACTCTATTAACACTGTCTTCTTAATGCTAGCTTTTAGCAATTCATAGAATCACAAAGTTGGAATGGCTCCAAATGTTTTTCATATGTATACACACACACACACATGATTTATGTAGAAGTATATAGCTCCTCTAGGGAAAGGGCAGGTGCTGCCCCATCTCAGAGCCATTGCAGGATAAACTGATCAAAAAATTCATCTTAGTACAATGCTTCCCTAAAGCCTTTCCTCTTGAGACTCATCCTTTTCCTGTAATTGCTTAGTATCACTGTCATTTTCATACATGACACACATGTTATCTCCTCTCTCTTAAGCTGAGTAGCAGTGATTTCTTCAGCAGCTTCTCAAATCTCTCACACACAGTAGTAACTTATTTCATTGTTCGGTGAAAGAAAGCAAGAAAAAACCATGCAGACTCCCCACTGTTACATGTTGCCTCGTCTTCAGGGTAAGGCAACTGCACAGTACTCTAGGCACATGATGGGACTACATGTCCTTTGATGTGCAGTGCTTAATTCGAAGGACATTGTTTTTTGTGTTCTGGCGTGGAACTTGCCTCTTTCGTCTTGGACACCTCACATGTGTACAGGGTCACAGCAAACTGGGGTTGAACGGCAAACCTAGTGCTTTTCTCCCAGGTTAAAAGTGAGACGTGGGCGCCAGAGGCTCAGCTCCAATCTAAGCAGACAAAGTTTGTTCTCCCATGTACAAAGCTTGGGCTTACCTCAGCTAAAATAGAAGAAATAGCTGCTCAAAGCTAGTTTCTTTCACGCCCCACTGGCAAGGTAGTAATTGCACAAAGACCTTTTTATTATAAGTTGATTTTCCTGAGAAATGAATTCAGAAAAATACTGTAAAGTGTTTATTTTTTGCTTGCCCTTTATTAACCCATGTCTTAGGGCATTCCCCAGAGAAAGACTGTGGGCAAATGAAACCTCTCAGACCCACATAGCATTTGCACGATGTTCCTGACTATGAAGGGTGAGGAGAGGAGAAGGCAAGCAGGTACCATTTAGACAGGGGAATCAGCTCATATATGGAATTTTGCCTAAAGAAGAGATTTAGGAATTTAGACAGAGGAAGCATTTGGGGCTTGTAGAATTGCTGGAAAACATTTATATCTTAAGTAGTGTATAACATAGTCATTCTGTGCTACTAAAAAGCCATAAATCTGTATGAACCAAAAGACTGTGCCTTTTGACACATCTCTGTTCTGATCTTTAAATGAAGAAAGTCCCATAGGTTAACCTGTGGAACCATGCCATAAAAGCTAGGACAAAGCCTTTCTGCCCTGCTATGCTGGAACCAGGGCAGCACTCTAGAGTGAAGAAGGGAGCTGGGAAATTAAAATGTGATTTTCAGGAGCATGATTCTGTCATAGCTCTGATTTCCTTTATATGAAGTACAAATACTGATGTAGAGTGAATATTTTTCTCTTTTGCATTTTTGTGGTCTTTGATACGTTTATTGAGGTCAAATGAAATCTGATATAGTAGGATTTATTATGAGTTGCTCAGTGGATACAACTCCATAATTACTGAGCTACATGGCAGTGCATAAAGCTGACAAGCAATTTATACGTTACATCGAGGTGTGTATGGCAAAGGATATTAGTTTAATTGGGCGCCAAGATATAGTAGCCTTAAATCTGAAGCACTTGTGTTTAATATAATGCAGTGAGGCTTTGGAAGAAGCTCCTCAACGAGGGAGACACAGCTTCTGGAATATATAACAATTAGACATTACTTTCTGGGCAAGGATACTAAATACTGTTTTCACAATGAAGCTTAGAATGCAGTGCAGGGGAAAGGGCAAAACCTCTCACCCACATAGTGAGAGAAAAGATCATTTAGTTTTCCTGTTCTCTCTTTCAAGAAAGAAGGTGAGAAAAGCAAGTCAAGAGGGAAGAGGGCCGTTAACCACCTTGTGGAGGAAGCAGGAATGTGGTCAGTCTCTGGTGAACAGATGGCACTGGTGTGCTAATGACAGCTAAGGAGAGGAGTTAGGTGAAGTTGGCCTGAATTTTCTCAGCTTTAGATCTGGAAAGAGGTTAGAGGTGGATGGCTATGTGGGCACCAGAGCACCTCCAGAATGGAAAAGAAATGCTTCTTGGCAACATCCGCTCCCTGTCTGATCACAGGCTCTCTTCTGTTTAGCAGGTTCAGGGGCACATGCCTCCGCTCATGATCCCAATTTTTCCACATGACCAGCGGACCCTGGCAGCAGCCGCTGCCGCCCAGCAGGGATTCCTCTTCCCCCCTGGAATAACATACAAGCCAGGTAAGTGGAGAGCCGCGGCACATGCTTTGAACATGCTGGGGCCCACATGATTTTGCTTAGTAGTCACAACAAACACAAGAGCAGACAAGGGAGCTATGGATAAAAACACAGAAAAAGCACATTTTAAAGTAAAACCAGAACCAGGGAGGCATTGTGCTAAGTACCCGGTCTCTAGAACTTTTACTTTCTCTCCTCTCATTTGTGTTTGTTTTGAACTCGCATCTGAAGTGAGGTTCTTGTTCCTCTCTCACTCCTTTACTGATAACCAGATAGCCATGTCTTCAGTTGTCCACAGATCTTTTCTTCCCCCTCGAGCTTTCACTCACAATCAGTAGAAAATGCTGCTGTTTTTTTTTTGTTTTGTTTTGTTTTTGTTTTAATATTTCTTTTGGAAAAAAAATTTTAAACTGCTGATTTAATTAACTCACCACTAATGGGTAAAGCTCTTTTTTTTTATTTTGGTGTAAATAATGAAGCATTCAGTAATATTCTTCATTCATCCTTGAACCTAAAAAAAAAAAAAAAAACAGGTCACATAACCTTGTAGTGAAATATGCTTTGAGATGATTTAGCAAATGTTATGATTTTTCTTTTTTCCTCTGAGTTTACTGGACTCCTGGGGAATTCAATTAGGGGTATAATGGTTTGAAGCTCTTTCAGAGCCTCCTTGTAAACATGGCTTTAAATGTTTAAAGATAGGTTGCCAAAGGAACCCAATATAAGAAAATAGCCAAGTACACAGAAGCCAACCTCAATTTCATTTGTGCCTTTTTTTAGTGACCCCAGCTCTGAGGTAGTGGCCTTGTTCTGCTCATTAATAATTTCTGTGTCAAGTTCTTTTTTAACATATTAGCCTGATTATATGAACCACCTAGTCAGGGTACAGCCAATCTGAGGGCAGCAGTTGCTTTGCATATGTGGCTTAGAGCATGAACAAAGGCATTTTACAATCTTAAGCCTCAGATAGAAAGCACCTTGCTGGGATTCTACAGAAGCTGATGAAACAGCCCAGGAGCAAACCTAGAGCTTAGAGCTGTAACTGCTTCAGACCAGGCATACCTCTGTGTGGTAGGCAGGCATGCCTCTCTGTGTTTGGTGGGGAACTCCCTTCCTTGTGAGAAAAGGAATCTGGGGGAGGCTCAGATAATTCGGGGGATGCTGCTCTAAGGGACTGGTCTATCTAAGGGCTGATTAAAAAGCCTTCAGATACAAATGACTCAAGGATTTGAAAAAGAAAGTGTTCTGAAATCAGAAACTGGGTGTGTCACAGTGATGTTGAAAAGTTAAGGCTTTTTAAAACATTTTATATCAATTTTCACTTCATCAGTAAGTCTATGCAAATATTCTAAAATCTGAGATATTTGTGGTTTCCACATTTTACACTAGGTGTCCTGGGTCTGTATTCACATGAGGCTTCTGGACGTTACCCCTCCATATAATGCTGGCCTTTGCATTCAAATAAGAGAACATATGTTCATCAGTGCTCTTGCTCTGAGCTATTCCTTTACAGCAGCTTCATTTTGGACATTGTTGTAAACTAAGCTAATTGTTTCATCTTGATTCTGAGCTAGGAGAATATTAATGTAAAGAATATTAAACCAACAGACAATATGTGTGTGCAGTTTACTGAAAGGGTGCCTAAGACTGGGTCAGGAGTGCCAGCTCAGAATCACACATGGGCCTTGTTTTCTGCTACAATAGTCATCTTATTGTTAAGTTGCCTAATTTTATTACAGCGAGGTATCGTTTCTCATGGGGGTAGATGGTGATATGTGTTCAGTGAATTAAAGTTGTTTCTTCCCCAAAGGTGTTGATGAGGTTGTACCATGTCAGGAGAAGGTTTGGAGGTAATACTTTTGTGCAGAATTTAGTGACTTTCAGTGAACTTGAAGTTGTGTCCTTGTGTACAAAGCTGTGTTTGGTTAGGCTGGCTAAACATGCTGAGAACAGCTCAATGGGGCTAGATTTGAAGGAAGATTCTCAGTCACAAGCAAGCTGCTCTCTCAAGGTATTTTCTATTAACCCCAAGCTTACACCAAGTAATTTAATCTAAATTTTTAAGTCCTTTAGTACTTTGGATAACCTAATCTTTTTATAGATAAAATTATCTTTGAAATAGACTAGAAGTATATGCACTTAAGCTACAAGTAGAGAACTCACAGATTTATGAAACTAAACAGTGTAGCCTGTGGTAATAATAGGAGTTGGGGAAACGCTATTGGACTGTAGTCCAGACAAGCAAACATTTTGCCCCAAACTGAATCATGCTCACTTCTCTTGAAATGTATGTGAGCAACTGTTAGATTTGGAAAGATACACAGCCTAAAGACAGTCTCATACATTCATAACTGTGTCCCCTAAGTGAGAAGTGGAACAAGTGTCTCCTTGGGCCTTACAAAATAGAACATAAAATCTTCTCTTTTTGCTTCCTACACTCTTTCAAGAACAGCCATACTTTCTTGGTGTTTGTGAGCTGAGTAAACCGATTTAGCTGGTTGAACAAACTGTCCTGATTTCCAGAAGCAAGGACCATTGTGGGTGACACTGCTTGTTGAAATTGGCCATTTTGGATCCTATGTGTCACAAATATATTCAGGGTTCTGAGTCTTTGTTCCCCTCTGGGTGATATGACCTACATCTGTGGAAATTATAATGCACCAACTATGGTGCAGTCCACATGAGATCTCCTACCTTCAAGTAGCTGAGGAGGCATACTGGTGGGACGCCAAGCATGGCTTCAGGGGGCATCCCTCAGACTGGCTTCTCTAGAAGTAGCTTTACTAACTTCTGGGCCCTCAGTTTTATTCTTATATTGGTTATATAATTAGAGACATCCTTCTAGATAGGGATCCACAGGGGCCCCAAACATGAAGCCTATACATTAGTTGCTCTGCTTGCTTACATTGTGAGATGAGATGCAATAATCAGGGAGACTGTGAATACATTTGCACATGGGTGTTTGAAATCAAAGAACTCCCCTTCACAGTTGCCAGGGTGTACATCAGAACAGGGCTGGCTTACCTGAACAATAAAATCATGTCCAGCCTCCTTTGCATTCCAGGGATAACACAGCTGACGACTGTCACATGTAGTTGGGAGCGTAAAATCATCACGTCTGACCATCACCCCTGACTTTTCCTCAGAGGTCCTAAGAGCAGGATGTGTGCTTGCACACAGGCCTCACATGTCCTCCTTACTCCATGCTAATACCCAGAGCTTACTATACAGCTACCATGTAAGAGAAAGCCATACATAAAATGTACAAATTAGATGTCCACATCTTGTGCAGGTGGGCATCCAGTTTTTCTCACACCGTTTGTTGAAAAGATCGACCTCTTTTGATGGTTATGGCAACTTCTCAAAAATAGATTAAATGTATTTGTGTGGGTTTGTTTCTGAACTGGCCATTCTAATGTGTTGGCCAGCCTGTTTCTATGTCAGTGCAATGCTGTGTTACCAACTGTGGCTTTGTAGTAAATGGCAAGGTGTTAGTCTGCTTTTACTCATCTTTTGAAAGATCATTGCTGTTTTGAGGGACTCTTGTAATATGAGCCTAAGAACTACTTTTCACATTTTGTAAAAAAGGATTGTTGATAGGGATTCCCTTGAATGTGTAGATTTCTTTGAATAGTGTTAAGATCTTAGTGTTGTCTTCTTATTAATACAGATACTTCTTTCTGTGTATTTCTGTCTTTTTATTGAATTAAAAAATACCCACTGACAAATGAGGATTGTATATATGTATGGTGCCCCCCCCCCAGTATATGTTTTTGTTCATGAATAGATCATACAGTGTTCAGTCAAGAGAAGCCTTCCAGTCTTCTCAAACATTTGTAATTTTTTTAAATGCTAAGATGCTTAAAACCCTTTTTTCTGTTCTGAGATAGATAATACTTCACATTCATGATCTGTCGTCATCCTGTAGTACAGTGGGATGGCCGGTTTCATTTCTCCTAACTGTATCTTAGTTAGTACCTATTGATCAGACTGCCCATAAGCCTTCCTGCCTTCAAGTTTTCTGAACCTCTGACAACTGCTATTCTACCTTCAATTTCTATGAGATCCACTGACTTTAGATATCTACATATGCCTGGTTCTTCTGTGCCTTGGTTTATCTCACTCAACACAATGATAGCCAGTTTTATACATGTTGTCACAGATGACACACTTTATCCTTTTATGGTTAAAAATGTTCAGTTGTATCCGTCTCACATTTTCCCCCATTTTTTAAGTTGGTGGACGCTTAGGTAATTTTTTGCCTTCATTATTTATTTCAACAGTGTTTTATAGTTTTCAGGGTGTAACTCTTTTCACCTCTTAAGTTAGATTTATACCTAGGTGTTAAATTCTTTTAGGCAAGATTATAAATTGAATTTCTTTCTTTTTTTGGTTTATTTATATTTATTCCTGGCACAAATAACTAAATTGAGCTTTTGTGTGTTAATCTCTGTGTGTGTTTTCTAAAATAGATTTTTATCTTTTTACTTTTCTTACCAGTTTGGATATTCTCCATATTTTTCTTGTGTAGTAGTACTAGATGGAGCTTCCAAGGCGATGCTGAATGACATCAGTGAAATGGGTATTGCTGTCTTGTCCCGATGTTGGAGGCAAAGCTTTTAGTGTTTTTGCCATTGAGTACAGGGTTAGCTGCAACCTTTAAGTCTTGGTCATTTTGAGTTTTACTTTTGCTGACTTCTGAGAGTTACCATGGAATGGCTAAGTATGTTTTCTGTGTAATTTTGAGATGATCGTGCAGGACTCACCCTTACACCTTTGTTTTATATTTTTAATGCTTTTCATTTGCTCAGATGGGACCATCTTGTAACATTTGTGATAAATCCTACTTATTATGGCAAATACTGCTTTCAGTATTCTCTTAGATTGAATTTGCTTGTTTTCTTAAGGATACTATATTTACATTTGTAACAGATATTGATTTAAAGTTCTCTTTTCCTATGACATGCTAGTTTGTGAATGATCGGTATAACTCCTTCTTTGGCATCTGACCAAATGTTAGAGAATTCTTCTAGTCCAGGTATTTCTTTGTTGGGAACTTTGATTACTAATTCAATCTCTCTATTTGTTATAGGTGTACTGAAATTTCTCTATTTGTGCTTGAGTAGTTAGGTAGTTTTTGTATTTTCTGTTTTTTTTTTTTCTGAGTTGTTTGATTGGCTGGCATACAATGCTTGCGGTTGTTAGCTGATGTTTCTTTTATTGCATTCCATCTGATTGACAAGATAACCCCTTGTGTGTGAGTAATTACATTAATTTTTATAATAATTCTAAGATATAAGGGGATAATGGTATTCTGTTTTATTAAATAAAAAGAATAGACTGAAATTTTAAGTGTTAGTTAAGTCTTCTAAGGCTTCAATCTCAAAAATGTTGGCATCAGCATTCAGGCTGAAGTTCTTTGAACAGATATTTCATATTCTTGGAACATAGTCTAAATGGGTATGATATTACGTAACTCTGATTTTTTTGTTTGTTTAAAAAGTAATTTTGCATGTGGGCTTATACAAACATCTTACAAAGCCAGTCATCACTGTCTT